AGCCTCCTCCTCCTCCTGCAACCCCTCAGCTGCTGGACCCCTCAGCTGCCCAGCACAGGAACCCGGGGAAGGACAAGCCCAAGCGTCCCTCCTCTGAGTCCTCCCAGTCAGGCCTTTTCTTCGTGGCCCCCCGGAACCCCACCCCCCCTCCCAACGCCCCCGAGAAGGACACGGTCAGCGTGACCTCCACCGCCACCACCTCCACCGAGGATTCCTCCCCCAGCGCCATCTACGCCACCATCTCCCCGTCCCTGCACGGCTCCCGCAGGCAGATGGATGCCCAGCTCTCCCTGGTCACCCAGCACCCCATCGGGCCCTTCCCCAGGGTCCAGTCCCCCACCAGGTTGAAGAGCCCGTCCCCGGAGCCCGGAGGGGTCCAGAGCCCCCCGTCCCCTCCTCCTCCTCCCGCCCACCCAGCGCCCCCTCCCCCGGACAAGGGCAGCCCCCAGGCCGTGGCCAACCAGCACTTCATCATGGTGGAGGTGCACCAGCCCAACAGCGAGCCCGACGTCAACGAAGTGAGGCCCCTGCCCCAGGCCAGAGGTGGGTGGCACCTGCCCCTCGAGAGGGAAACGGGAGAGGAGGCAGATCTACCCCCGAGCTGGAGCCCCTCTGCTCTGGAGCCAGGCTGGGAGAGCTGGGGGGGTTCACCTGGAGAAGAGAAGGATCCAGGGAGAGCTGAGAGCCCCTTCCAGTGCCATGGGGTCCCTTGGAGATGGAGAGGGAATGGAGGTCCCAGGGCGTCCCTGTCAGATGGAGAGGAAGCGGGGTCCTGGGAGACCCCTTGGAGATGGAGAAGGAAGGGGGTACAGGGGGATCCCTCGGAGATGGAGAAGGAAGGGGGTACAGGGGCATCCCAGGGGATCCCTTGGAGGTGTAGAGGGAAAGGGGTACGGGGCAGATGTCCCTCGCAGATGGAGAAGGAAGGGGGATCCGGGGGAGTCCCTCGGAGGTGGAGAGGAGGGAATGTGGTCCCGGAAAGTCTCCCGGAGATGGAAAGGGGTCCCGTGGGGTTCCTCGGAGGTGGAGAGGGAAGGGTGTCCCGGGATATCCTTCGCAGATGAAGAAGGAAGGGGGATCCCGGGGGTGCCCGGAGGGTCCTGGGGGTATCCCCCCCCCCCCCCCCCCCCGTGGGACCGACGCGAGTGGCAATGTCGCCCTCCTGTGGCCCCGTCCCGTCCCTGCAATGGGTTCATTAACCGCAGTTAATGAGGGTTCGTTAATGAGGGCGAGGGGCTGCCGGGGTCAGGTTCTGCCCGGGGGGTGTCCGCAGTGGGATCTCAAATCCTCCGAGTGCCAGAGCCGCTGTCCCGAACATCCAGCGCTCCCTGCGTTCCCGGCATTCCCAGAGTCTCCATCTACGCTTGGAGCCTTTATTCTCCAAGACGAGAAAGCTCCTTTATGGCAGCACCTCTTTGCTCGGGTCCGTCCCATTCTCCTCCCACGTGGAGCATGGTCTGGATAAACGGGCCTCTGACAGGAACCCAGGACTCATCACTCTCTCCCTCCATCCCAGTTTGGAATCTGGGTTGGATCCTGGACCTGAGTATGAGGCCACTTGTCCCCTGACAAGTGCACAGCTCTGTCCTTCTGCCAGGAGGGTGCAGCCAGGTGGGGGTCGGGCTCTTCTCCCAGGTAACAAGTGACAGGACAAGATGAAATCACCTGAAGTTGTGGAGGTTCAGGTCGGATATTAGTGAAAATTTTGTCAGTGAAAGGGTGGTCAGGCATTGGGACAGGCTGTGGAGGAGTCCCCATCCCTGGAGGGGTTTAAAAGCTGTGTAGATGTGGCACCTGGGGACATGGGCTAGTGGTGGGCTCGGCAGTGCTCAGGGAACTCGATGATCTTGGAGATCCTCTCTAGCTCAAATGACTCTCTGTTCTACGACGGCCACTGATGTAAAATCATTCACCTCCTCCTATTTACAGTCCCGTGGGTTAGTGGTGGGCTCGGCAGTGCTGGGGAATGGTTGAACTTGCTTAGAAATCTTTTCCAACCTAAGCAATTCCATGATTCGGAACCTTGGGAGCCTGGCTCCGAAGGCCGGGCGTCATTCCCGGGGGATCTGCCCGGCCCTGGGATCTGCCCTCGCCCCGTGCGTGCCCGGGGCCGTGCTGCCTGCCCTCTAACCCACGTGTCTCCCCAGCCTCCACGCTCTCCCAGCTGTCGGACAGCGGGCAGACCCTCAGCGAGGACAGCGGGGTGGACATCGGGGAGCTCGAGAGCAGCGGCAAGGACAAGAGCCGGCAGCCGGGCCCTGGGAAAAGCCGGAGCCTCAAGGAGGCCGCGAGGAGCGAGGGGGCGGCTGAAGGGGCCTCCAAGCCGGTGAGGGCCCGGGGAGGGGCTGCTGGTTGTGGGAGGGGGCACCTGGGGCTGTCCCCCACTGCCTCATCCGGCCAGTTCTGCTCCCCCTTTCCCCACCAGGCAACGACTGCTCGGCTGTGCTTTGGTGGGTTATTTATCCTCTGTAGTGAGCTGAGTGAGCTCTCTGGGGGGCTGAGCTGTGGGGAAAGGGGGTCAGGAGTGGCTGAAAGGGGCTCTGTAGGGCTGATTCACTCCACACTGGGTAAATCCAGTCCCTCCCAGCTCCAGCAAGCAGCTACAGGGGGCATGGCAGAATCCCTGGCTCTGGGGGAACATCCCCAGGGCACAGTGAAGTCACCTGTAGCCTGGAAGGGAAGGTGGCAGCAGGTATCAGGGGGTTTCTGATGGTTGTATAGGTAGGCAGGCAGAGAGCTGCTCTGCTCTTCCTCAAGTTCTTCCAGCCCTGCCCATGGTTGGGATCTTGGATGTCAGGAGTCAGGGAGCAAATGTGTCTGTCCCTCTGTGGTGACAGCCAACCGTGGGTGTCCCTGCCTGCTCTGGGACACCTCAGGGAGTGTGGCAGGCACATGATGTCCGGCCTCCCTCAGCAGTGCCCTCTCTCCCCACAGCCAGGGCTCCTGGAGCCCACGTCGTGTCTGATCCGGGTGTCCAAGAGCGCTCCCACCTTGGGCATCGCCATCGAGGGCGGAGCGAACACGCGGCAGCCGCTGCCCCGCATCGTCACCATCCAGGTAGGGCGGGCTGGGAATGGGAATAACTCCATGAGCATCTCATCCCTCTGCTCCCTGAGCAGGCTGGGAAAGCCTTTGAGCCACAGCCAGAGCAGAGGGGTAATTTTAGAGGTGCTTCCCCCTCCTAGAGCCCTGCACATCCCCAGCCATTGTCCTGCTGTGGGGGTTTGTCTCCGTGTCCCGTGGATGATCCCGCACCATAACAGACATCCTGGGAGCCAAGGATTTGCTGCAGACATTTCAGAGGGAGTCAGGGCAGCCCTGAAAGCTTGGCTGGTGTCTCCAGATGTCTGGAAACTCCCAGACAGAGGACTGGGGAGGGGGAGTGGTGGATGAGAGCCAGACAACTGAGCCCTCCAGAGCTGTCTCCCTGTTTGCTGTTTACTTGGGGCAAAATTCAAGCTATTTACAGCAAAAGAAAAGCAGAGCTGACTGTGCCTTGGTTATTCTTGGCCACCCCAGCTGGCGCCACGCTCCAGGAGCAATCAGGAGGGGAGCCAAATTCATCCCCTCTCTCCAAAAAGCAAAATATCTCATATCCATCACGTTCATTCCCCGGTTCAGGGTGAACATGAGCGATATGAAATATATCCCATTTTTTTCCCCAAAAAAACCATCTAAATTGATCCAAGGGGGGGATGGTGGGAAGGTGAGCTGACCACCTCTCTCCTGCAGCGTGGGGGGTCGGCACACAACTGTGGGAAGCTGAAGGTGGGCCACGTCATTTTGGAGGTGAACGGCACAGGACTGCGAGGCAAAGAGCACCGGGAGGCCGCCCGCATCATCGCCGAGGCCTTCAAGCTGAAGGACAAGGACTACATTGACTTCTTGGTCACAGAATTCAACGTGGCCCTTTAGGGATGGCTTTTGGGAGCGTGGAGTGGGACGGGGATGAAGGACAGCGCCGAGGTGTGAACGAGGTCCCACCACGCAGAGCCCGCGCACGCAGACACCCCAGCTTGTCCCCAGATGTCCCCTCGCCCGCTGTGGACTCGCTGCCTGGGTAGGGCAGGCTGAGAATGGGCAGAAATCACTGCACATCCCTCAAAAGTCTCCACCCTGTCCTGTCTGGGGTAGGGAAAACACCCTCTCCCCCTCGGCCAGGCGGGAGGGCGGCAGAGGTCTGGGTGTCCCCGCTGTCATTTGAGTGCCACACACACAGCAAGGCGGGCCCGTGGCTCAGGCTGGAGGGGTTTTGGGTGGTGGCCACTCCCTTGGGTGCTCACTCCCCAGTGCCCAGGAGGGTGGCACAGGCCACGGGTGGGGAGGCAGAGAGAGCAACTGGAGGCCTTGTAAATCGCTGGCAACGTCGTCGTATTTATATATACAGAGCTTGTGCTTTTAATTTTTCAATAAATCTATCAGGGTAGAAAAGGACTGTGGCTGGGGGGGTTCTTGGGGGCTGGGATGGGGGGGAGGAAGGGGCAGGGGTGACTGTGGGGCTCCCCAGGGCCAGCAGGGCAGGTGGGAGTGTGGTGGTGGTGGGCTGGGAGGGGATGCCCATCCCCAGTCCCATCCCCAAACTCATCCCCAGTCCCATTCCCCTGCCATCGCAATCTCCATCCCATCCCCATCCTCATTCAGACCCTCCTCATCCCCATCCTGTGCTCATTCCATGCCCATCCCATCCCTGTCCCAGCCCCATTTCCATTCCATCCCATCCCATCCCATCCCATCCCATTCCCAGCGATCCGGGGGGATGGGCAGGCGCAGCGCTCCGCCAGGGGGCGCCAGCGGTGCATCAATTATTTAAATGAGGCCCGTCTTCCGTAGCTCTGATTGGTCGCGCGCCGCGCGCTATGTAAATACATTGGGGGCGTGGTTTATGCTAACGACGTCCCGCTCCCTGCCCGGCGGCGGGCGCGGATTGGTCGGGAGCGGCGGGTATGCTAATGAGCGGAGGGCACGCCCCCCGCCGCGGGCCGCGCTATTGTCCGGCGGGACCGGGATTGGGATCGGGTTCGGATCGGGATCGGGACCGCGATCAGGATCAGGATCGGGATCGGGACCGGGGTCGCCCAGCGCCGCCCGGGCCCTCCCTGCAGGTGGGCAGCGCGGGGCGCTCGCGGTTGGAGTGGGAGGGGGGGGGTTGCCCCTCCAGCGGTGCCCCAGGGCCAGATGTGCCCCAGCTGTGCCCGGGGGGGCCGGGAATGGCTCGGCTGCTCCCTGCTGCAGGGAAGAGGAGGAGGGGGCCCCCGCGGCGCCGCTGGAGGCACAGCGCGGGGGCCCGCGGGGCTGGCTCCATCCCCGGGGCCGCATCCAGCGCTCCCCGGGCTCATCCAGCGCTCTAAGCCCGGCTTAGGCAGCTGGGAGCCGGCTGGGGTCTCTAGGCGGAGCGGGGGGAACTCGCAGGCCCGCAGGGGTCCCTGCGGCCGAGGAGACGGGACGCGCCGGGAGGATGCGGGAGGCAGCAGGAGGATGCGGGACACGCCGCTTCTCGCCGAGGCGTGTCCTCCCCACGCCATCCGAGCCTTCGTGGCCCCGGGGAAACTTGTCATAACTTTCCTCATCGCGGTGCCTCCTCCCCGCCGGGCCCGGAAGGTTCCGGGCGGGTCCGTCGGGGGCTGCGGGGGCGGTTCGGAGCCGCTGCCGGAGCTCGGCGGGGGCTGCGGGACACGGGGCCGAGCTGCTGCCGGAGGCTCCTCCGAGGAAGTCGCAAGGGCAGCTTTCAGCTTCAGTTCCGTGTTTTATTTAAAGGGCAGCCGTGTTCCTGATAGCCGGTGGGTGCCGGTTCTGCAGCACCCTTTCGGTGCCTTCCGGGCGGGGATGTTTTGAGGACTCACGGAGAGGGAGGGACTCCATGCACTGTTCATCCAGGCTGGGAGAGCTGGGGGTGTTCAGCGTGGAGAAGAGAAGGCTCCAGGGAGACCTTAAAGCCCTTTCCAGTGCCTGAAGGGGCTCCAAGAGAGCTGGAGAGGAACTTCGGGCAAGGGATGGAGTGACAGGACAAGGGGGAATGACTAAACTGAAGGAGAGGTTAAGATTGGATTTTGGGAAGAAATTCTGCCCTGTGAAGGTGGGGAGGCCCTGGCTCTGGGCACAGGTTGCCCAGAGAAGCTGTGGCTGCCCCATCCCTGGAAGTGTTCGAGGCCGGGTTGGACGGGGCTTGGAGCGAGCCGGGATAGTGGAAGGTGTCCCTGCCGTGTCCCCGCCACCTTTCCCTGCCCTGTGCTAATTAGGGCTCCCGGTGACAGCGGCAGCTCTCTCCAGACAGGGATTAAGTCTGTCCTTCACGGGCTTTACTGCACATCCACCCTCGGCTGCTGCAGGTATGTTCGGGTTCAGCCCCGGGGGGGACACCTGGGCTGTCCCCGGGAGGAACAGGAGGGTCCCTGTGCCGGGGAAAAGGCAGGAAAACGGCGGCAGGAGCTCTCTGTCCTGCCGTGGGGCTTTGCTTCAGGGCAAGTGATGGAGAGATGCCGTTTCCCGGGGTTTTGGTACCTCTCCATGGGGATGTGCCAGCGTGGGGGAGCTGGGGGAAGGTTTGGCCCCTCCAGGCAGTGGAATTTGGGTGACACGTGGGCTTTAGAGCCCTGGTGTGGTAACAGGCGTGTGTTCTTTGAGAGGACAAGGGGGTTTGTGAGGCTCTTCCTCACTGTGATGGTCCCTCCCTTGTTCTGGTAGGAAATAATGCAAACCAAGGACGCGGCGTTTCCGCTCCTCTGCCCTCTTTCATGCTCAGAAAAACGGGACTCTGTGGGCTTTAAAAAAGGGTTTATACACCAGGAATTCCTCCCTCCTGGAGTGCAGACACCCCTTGCCAACTTCCAGCCTTAGGCTGTTCTGGCCTCCTCCAAACCTCCCCAGATGAGATGCAAAATATCCATCCCTCACCCAGGATGGGGGTTAAAGGGGGTCTGGGGACCCCCTGCACCCCAGACAGGCACAGATGTGCAAGGGGGGCATTAACCCCCTTCCCAGGCAAGTGATTTTTGGGGCACAGGGAGGGAGGGTTATCCCCCATCGCTCAGGGGCCGTGGGGATGGAGGTGTGGGGTTTAGAGCCCCCCTAACCCGCCTGCTTTGCCCAGGGTTGACAGGGCAGTGAAGGCAGAGTGACAGCAGCCCTGTCCCCCCTCCCTGTCACCCAGCCAGCCCTGGGGCAGAGGATGCTCTGTCTCCTCTGCTGTCACCACTGATAAACCCAGGAGCGAGGATGGATCCGGGCTGGCCTTGATTGTGCTGCTGTTTCTCAGCCTCACACGTGTAATGAGTTGGGCGGTCTCAGCCTCACACCTTTGTCTATCCCACAGGGAGCAGGACAGGGATGGGATCACTGCCTGCAGGCAGGATCAGGGATCAGGAGCTGAGGGCAGGGACAGGCAACAACCCCTCCTGCCTGCAGGCCAAGCAGAGACCTGGCAGCACTCATCACTGCTGTGAGCATCCCCTCCCTCGGCCGAGCACCTTCACCCTGAGCCATAATTTGGGACAGCCCTGGCTGAGATCTGGAGGGCAGGAAGGGGGCTGAGGGCAGAGCAGAGTTCTGGGGTGCAAGACTTTTTCTTGTTAAGGCTTTTCAATTTCTTTTTTAGCTCCTTTTCCCATTATGTTATTGCAAAATGCCAGCTTTCAAAGAGCAAAACTTTTTAAAAACAATAAATATATAAATATATACACATTGGGATTGTTTGCATTTGCTTTGTGGCTCCTGTTTATGGAACCACATTATTTTTCAAGCTTTTCTGTGCTCCCATAACAGTGAGAAACTCACTTAAAGGGGGAAGAAAAAAAACAAAAGCCAAGATTTTTCTCTCTTACCACCGTGACCATCAGTGGAGGGACTTTCTGGGAAAGCAGCAAATGTGGCTGGATTTGGAAGTGGCTCCTGCAGACTGTGGCTGCTGTGGGCAGTGCAGCCTGGGCACCACTGCTCAGAAATGGGGTGACAGCCAATAGTGTGTGGGTTGGGCATGGCCTCCTTCAACCCTCCCCCCCCCCCAAAAAAAGACCCAAAATATCCATTATGGGGTTAAAGAACCACCAGAACCCGGTGGGAAATGTTTTAATCCTCTATGTTGCAAGAAAACAGGACCCACAATCTCCTTTCTCCTACCAGCAGCCCTCTGGGAGCCCCAGGGGTGGTGTTTGGGCTCCTCATCACTCTGGGATGCTGAGGGGCTTGAGGTGGGAGGGCAGGAACTTTGGTGAGGATCTCCAGACCCCATCTCTAGATTGGGATGTGATTCAGGGCTTAGGACTAGAAACACCCCAGCTCAGAGAGGGGCTAAAGCCAAAATCACTCTTTAGCTGCATTAGTGCAGGGCCTGAAGCAGCCCATGGGCAGCCCTGGTGGCAGGAGAAGCTGTGGAGCATCTCTGGGTGTGGAGAATGGAGTTATCCAGTCTGTATGTGGGGAAAAACCTCATGCAAACGGCCCAGGAGGTTTGCAAAACCCTAAGGGATGATTTGGGGTTTGCTCCCCGCCTGGAACACCCCAAAGATGCAGGAGCTTGGAGCTCCTTGGAGCTTGGGCTTGGAGTGAGTTGCAAGGATGATGCCCAAGGATCTTGAACCAGGTGGCACTGGAAAATAACCCCCAAAACCACACTAATACCCCCAAAAAATTGCAGATCTGAGGCTTGGGAGTGGATTAGGGGACTTTTCCCGGAGCATGAGGGTGGCATGGGTAGGTTTGCTGCTCATCACCACCACCCCTGAGCCAGCAGCACCCCAAAATCACCCTCTGGCTAAAGGCAGCCACCCCAGGGACTGTGCTGTGGTTTCATTAGCTCGTCAAGCTCTCCCCCGCGTGCCACTAATTACACAGTAACGAGCTGATTAATTGGCTGCCTGCGAATGTGCCAGGACGTGCCACGGTGCCTGGGTATGGCTGCAGCATCCCTGGGGTTGTGAGCAGCATCTCGGGATGGGGGGGCCAGGTGGACACCCCCCCTTGGAAATCCGGAGAGGGTTGGAAATTCCAAGGGGAGGGTCCAGCTGGCTGAATTTTGGGGCTTTAAGGCTTAATTTTTTACCTCCTGGCAGACCCTCATCCTGATGTCCTTTGGAGGCTGATGGTCCCAGGGATCCCCCTCCCTTATTTTCCTACAGCATTTTGCTCCAAATTGGATTAAAAAGTAAAGGGTTTGGATGGAAAATGGCTGTGGGAGGAGGGTTCAGCCCCCACTGCGCAAGGCCGGATGGGGTTAAAAAGCTGGTGGCCGCCTGCAAACTTGCAGGAAGCACCATTTCCTACTTCTGCAAAAGCTCAGCTGCCCCACAGGCACAGGAAAGTTTTGGGGTGCTCTGAGTGATGCTGCTTTGGGGACCCCAGGTGGGCTCACGGTGATGGGGGTGTCCTGAGGGGGCTGGCACAGGGTGAGTGTCCCCTGCATGGGGCTGGTTGCACCTGGTTTTGGGGGGTCCCAATCTACCCGAGGGGATGCTGATGGGAGAAGCCCGTGGCCTCTCTTGCTGCACACCCCACGTTGGGGTTTGGACATCCGGCGTTTCTTGAGCTGCTGCTGCGGCTCTGGGAACCCCAGGAGGGGGTGAGGAGGAGCTCGTGCTCTTGGGTTATCCATGGAATGAGTGTGCCAGGTCTCTGCTGCAATCCCTTTCCTCGTCAGCCCCCCAGATCCAGAGGGGTTTTGGGGTGCTCTTGCCTCCCTGAGCACCATCCTGCACAGTGATGGCACCACTGATGGCCCCCAGGCTGTGGCTGCCCGGCTGGGGTGACATCCACAGGGTGCCAGCACGGGCTGGGTGTTCCTTGGGAGGGGACAAGCTTTTTGGGGTGGCCCTGGGGGGCTCCTTCCCCACGGGGACCTCAGGGGACCATGAGCTGCGAGTTCTGTGGCAGCTCCCACTTCATGGTGGGATGCAGAGCCCGGGGGGCTGATCCGAGGGTGTCCCCCCATCACGGGAGGCTGCTCTTCCTCTGGGTTTGGGGGGCAGGGGAAGCCCTGGCAGTGGGGGAACACCCCTCAAACAGAGCCCACCGTGTCCTGCTGACATCCCTCCCTCTCCCTCGCCCCCCTCCTTCCCCCCCCCCAGGACGCGGTGGCGATGTTGTGACCTACATTCGCGACAAGGAGGTCCCCAGCCCGCCGCCACCATCGGGCCATGAAGCGGCACAAGTGACAGGGCCGCCGTGCCCGCGGCCATGGCCAGCCCGGCACCATGGCTGCACTGCACACAAACAGAGCTGACGCCCTGGGAGGGAGAGGACGAGGAGGAGGAGGAGGAGGAAGAAGACGACTTTGAGAGGAGGATGGACGAGGACGGGGTCATCGGCCTGGGGGAGGGTGCCAGGAGCCCACTGTGGGGTGAGTCGTCCCCTCCCTTCTGCCCAAAGCCCCTCGTGGGGGTGGTCCCAGATGTGCTGGAGCCAAGAGGGGCTGCGGGAGGGGTGGGGGCACCGCCTGGGTCCGGCTGGCAGCAGCCCCGCGCCGCTGGTGTTTTTCAGGTGACGGGGAGGACCCGGAGGAGGGGTCCCCGGTGGAGGAGGGTCGCTGGCACCCGCAGCAGGACCTGGCGGAGGAGGACGAGGAGCGGGGCAGCTCCGGGGGGGACGAGGGGCCCTGGGGGGCAGAGAGTGACGGGGAGCCCTACCCCGAGCTCTCCTGCGAGGGCCGGTGGGGCTCGGGGTCCAGCGGCAGCCCCGAGGCTCTGCGGGAGCACCGGGCTCTCTGCCAGCCCCGCGGCTGCAGCACGGATGGTGGGGACACCTCGGCGCTGTCGGACACCAGCCCTGGCCCTGCCACCCCATCCCGCCGGGCCCGGGGCTGGGGCACAGCCGGGGACGCCTCTGGAGGGCACGGGCAGGGGTGGACCCCGAGGCGGAGCCTCCCACGGCCTCTCTCCACCGACGACCCCCGCGATGCCACCAGCCCCGAGCCTGTCCCCAAGCCCCAAACAGCCCCTGGCATCACTGGCTTGGCACCCCCGGAGGAGCCCCAGGGCGCCGGGAGCCCCCCAGCACCCAAACCGCACGACAGGTCCCGGGTGCCCAAAAAAGCGGCGCCCGCGGTGGTGCCCCCCAAGCCCGCCCGGCAGTCGCGGTCCCTGAGCCCCCGGCGGGGAACAGGAGGCAAGGGGCACAGGGATCCCTCGGGAACGGGCACGGATGGCACCCAGTACGGCCGCGGGCGCCTCAACCACCCCCTGCCCGACCTGTCCAAGGTGGAGGCGCGGGTGAAGTTCGACCAGAGCTACCGCCCACCTCGGGGCCGGGTCCTGCCCGCCCGCCCCAGGGTGCCCGGTGGCCCCGTTGGCTTCAAGTCCCCGGCAGAAATCGTGCGGGAGGTGCTGCTGAGCAGCGGGGAGGGGATCCCCCCGCAACCCCCCAGCTCCACCGGGCTGCCACAGGAGTTCAGGTCCCCCAAACAAGCCACCGCGCTGGTGCAGCAGCTCCAGGTAACGCCCAGCTCCTCCCAGTTCGGCCAGAGAGGTCGTACTGGGAGGGTAACCGAGGTGGGGGGGGCAAGGGGTGATGGTGAAATGGGGATGTCACCGGCTTCGTGAGCTGGCGCTGTGTCACCCACGGGATTTGGTGTTGTGTCACCCCTTCCCAGTCCTACATGGGGAGGAGGGAAGGAGCAGGCAGGGATGTGGGCAGTGCTCAGGCTAGAGGCAGGGATGCTCGTGTCCCCTTTGATGCCCTCCTGTCCCATGGGATGCCCTCCTGTCCCCTGGGAGTAGAGGGGGGCTCTCCCCACACAGCCAAACGGGGGCCACATCTGCCCCAGACGGGCCGGGTGCTTTGGGGAGTGGGTTTCTGCACTCCAGAGTGTCACCCACCCATAGGTGGGAACCTGGGAGCCCCCCCAGACCTGTTGTCCTCACACAGGGCTGCCTCCCCCTTTGCCATCCCCCCTGTACCGGGTGCTGTCCCCCACTGGTGTCCCCTCCCTGCAGGACGACTACCACAAGCTGCTGACCAAGTACGCCGAGGCTGAGAACACCATCGACCAGCTGCGCCTGGGGGCCAGGGTGGGTGTGGGGCCGGGGTGGGTGGGGGGGGGTCCCCCACTCTGCTCCTCCCTCCCTGAGATTATTCAGCGTGTCTTCCTCCCCCGGTCCCCTCTCTTCCTCCTCCCGGGGAGCTGCGGTTGAGCAAGCCCGGCCTAGGGAGGGAGGGGTGAGGCCACCGCAGAGCCCACAGCAAACCGGGGTCCACCGTGCCCCCCTCGTGGTGGGGTCCCCTCCGTACCAGGGGGGCGGCTGAGCCAGAGTGTCCCTAAAATGGCGAGGCACGTCGCTGAGATGGCAGGGCCACCGGCGGAAGCGTGTCCCCGTGTCACCTCTGCCACCTCCTGCCCCGCGTGGGTGGGGAAGCTGAGGCGGGGCTGTGTCCCCCCCACCCTTGAGGTGCTTCAGGGTGCCCCGGGGGCACGGTGGGTGGGCGGTGCCGGGGTTGGGGTGCAGGGTGGATGCCTGAACCCGCCGTCCCTGCCCAGGTGAGCCTGTTCTCGGACCCGCCCCAGCCCAGCCGCAGCCTGGCCGTGGGCACCGTGGGCACCGGCTGCCGTGTGATGACCCTCAGCATCCCACAAGCCCGGATGGCAGCTCTTGGTACGGCCACGGACACGGCCACAGCCTCCACCTCGCCAGCTGGAGGTGGGTTGATCCATGTTTCCCGTCCATCTCATCCCCCTCCTGCTCCGTTTTTTTTGCGGGATGCTCACCCAACACCCACGGACTCCTCACAGAGCGGGGAGGTCCCCGGAGTCACTTGTCCTCGTGTTTTCTCGCAGCTCCAGCACCGGGACCATCAGATCGGGGGGGTTCACCCCATCCCCGATCCCCCCCTCCGCCCGGGGGGGGGCTGCCCCAGCTGCCCCGGGCCGTGCTGCTGCCCCGGCCCCCGGCTCACCCGGGCACTGGCGGGGCAGAGCCGCAGGCTGCAGGCACAGGCAAGGACCGGGGGGGCTGCAGGGTGGGCTGGGGGGGTTTGGGGGGGGGCTGCAGGGAGGGGGGCTGTGGGGAAAGTGCTGGGGGCCTATGGAGGTGGCTGTAGAGGGCTGCGTGGGTGGGGGCTGCTGTGGGGCTGTAGGGTGGCGACTGGGGGGGTTTTGATCAGGCTGGGGGGGGGGGAGGTTACTGGGGGGCTACTGGAGCTCCCCGGCTGTGGGGAGAAGGGCAGCTGGGGAGAGGGCTGGTGGGGGCTGTGGGGAGGGGGGCTGTGGAGGTGTGGGCTGGGGGG